CCGGGCTCAGGGGGGTGATCGGGCCCCCTCTTCTACTCTTAACCAAGTGGGTCTACAATTTCCACAATACTTGCCTGCAGGCGTTTTCTTTCTCAGTCGGCATAATTTTATTAACTCGTCCTGATCCTGGTCAGATTCTTGGATCAGTGGTGTTCTCCGAATGCCCGAGAGAGGTTCATCAGCCCTCTTCTGGAGAAAGGTCTCCGTAGGCACCTGAAGACAGTCAAGATGGTCTCGATGGGGCACCAGTCGGTCCATTCTGTCCTCAGCGAAATATCGCTCTATTTCCGTGTTGCAGTCGCCAGAATTGTTGCAGAAAATGACAGGCTTAGACTTCTCAAAATACAGGAAGAATTTATTTGGCAGCCAGGTTCAGAAAGCTAACACTTAGCTAGCATTGGAAATTCTGAACAACCTTCATTATCGGAGCACGCGTTCTTATACATTCTCAAAAGCGGCGCAACACGGAAATACTTAACTCATTTCTTATTGGTTATTTTGGGGGGAAAGCCTTATAAGTAGATGGGGGTCTTACTTCTCTTTTTGTTCTTGGGACACAGGTATGGACTACATTTCTTTAGCAAACTTTAATTGAACCTTGTGGTTTGGACTTTTGACGTAGGGATGTTGGCTGGAACATCTTTTGGTTAGAGGTTGATGACATTTCCTTTAAGCAGGCTTCTAACTGTCCCTTTTATGCCATGTCTTCATTCATATTTTAATTCATATTTTATTCTACTTTAAAATAGTTATACATAACTGATTAGAGGATTCCTTTTATATTGATTTATTACACTTAAACTTGATATAGTTTCAATTCTTGGTTGCATCTTATAAGAATTTCTCCTCTAATTTAACTTGTATTTGCTTTATTTCATGAAGCTCTTATACATCTAGAAATGTTACATCTGTTCTCAAACAAATCCAATTCATCTTTCTGTATGTAGGTTCTATAGCTGTTCTCCTCCTACATAATTCAATTATCAGCCTCCTCCAGTACTTTATCTTCCTAGCTCCATAGAAATAGAAGTCTTGTGAATTACTTTCTACTCCTTCCTCCATCTGCATATTCCCCCAAAACCACTCCTTGAGACTCCAAAACAGCCATTTTCTCAAAAGCTTAGGAAAAAAGTACTGCACAATTTCCCCAGGTCAGCTATGTGTACTTTAGGGTGATTGATCTCTAAGTGTAATGGCTATGCATCCAGAGACAATCTAGAAAGGTCCTCAAAATAACTCTACCATACCATCAGAATATTGCAGTTGGGTCAGTGAGATGTTATTTGCTCATGAGTCATGATTTACGAATTGCATCTCAAAATGCTTTGCACAATTTTAGTACTCCCCTTACATTTCACGAGTGACTGAAAAGGACACATTGGTTAGAATTATGATACAAGGTAGATGATGCCAATATTTTCTGGATTCTATTTCATTGAATTTTTGAGGCAATGTGGGACTTTTTATTTTTCTTTCTTGAACTACTTTAAGGCTTATACTATTTTTTTGCTTCTCATCCCAAAATTATATGTAATAATGTGATCAATTTTCAGCCACTGTAATTAGATATATCACCCAGAGTGCAAACAAAATAGATCTGGGAATTGTACATTCTTTGAAATCCCCACTTTGGAACCTCAGATTGTTACCTTTGCATTATAGCATTATGTCCTTCCTACTGCTATTAATTTAATTATCATTGCTGTTCTTATAATATAAGGTCACTGAAACAGCATATCTTGTAATTCTTCATAGCACATATTGGTAACTTGCCTTTCTCATCAGCATATTCACCTGAATCCGAACACAGACTGTCCTGGCAAGCTTCAGAGAATGCAATTTGATGTCCCTGAGTGAAAAGTGATGTCTCTGTCATTGATTCTGCAACATGTGCAAATTACAATGTAAAGAGGAAAACCAGATGCAACAAGAATTATTCTATGTGCTATCCTCATCATTTAAATCATTCCCAATTAGCTGGACATGAGAAGCTATGTATGTATCACATATTTTCTTGGTGTTCATGCATTGGAACAGGGGTGGGTTTCAACCGGTTCGCAACGGTCCCCGCAAACCGGTTGGTCAGCGAACCCGGAAGTAAGTAACTTCCGGGAACGGCGAAGGGCCCACCTGCCCGCCCGTGCTCCTTACCGGTCTTTGAAGGCTTCTGCGCTTCCACGCAGGGGCATGGCACATACAGCGCCTGCGCGAGTCTCCGCGAGCAGCTGGAGCATCGTGCAGGCGCTAAGACGCATGCATGAACTGTGCGGGTGCACGAGGACGCCGCCGGCCCCATTCCAACCGAACCGGTTGGAACGGGATTAGCAACCCATCCCTGCATTGGAAATATATATAAAGATAGGAATGAAACATAAAAATACAAGGAATATCCTGCTGGATTGAACCCCTAGCCCACCTAGTTTGTTGTATACTACAAGCAAGCCCATAAGTCTATCAATTGGGCTTCAGAGGCAGTGATAGTGTCATTAAGGCTAATAATCATTGATTCCCATGACCACCATGATTTAGCCCAGCTTTTTTTTTCAACTAATACCACATATCATGATAGTTAATTTCAAAGTATGATTACATGTTCTGTAAAAACATGGTGCCTTTTTTTAAAATTTTTTTTATTTTTTTATTACACAGACAACAATGGGAAAGGGAGAAGATAGGGAAAGAAAAAAAGGGGGGGAGGGGAAACCCATCTTCACATACAATATGTCATTTGATCACAGGTGCATATACATCCCGTATCTCTCTGTTGTATATTTAATAAACACCACAATAAACTAGGGTTTAAAAAACAAAACAAAAAACAAAAAACAAAAAAAAAAGTAAAACAAGAAAAAAAAGGGTGGGGGGGGGAGGGGGAGGCCCCCCCCAAAAAAGTCCAAAAAAGGGGGGGGGGAAGAAAAAAAGAAAAAAAAAAAATACAACATAAAGGGGGGGGGAAGGAAAAAAAAACCATCATCACATGCAGCATGTCGTTTGGTTACGG